TGATTAACGCTTGTAGCAAACAAAAAACGCGCTATGTTTGTGTGTGTATATACATATAATTTATATATATATATTTAAAATATTTCCAGTATTTACTATAATTCTTCATTTCATCAGTTATTACGCTCAAGCGATGCAATACATCATATAGAATTTGAACACTTTAGTCTTTATGTGGTTTGTTAATGTTTATATTTATGTAAAAATATATACATAATCATTTAATTAAGCTAAAATTGGGTTAATTTTATAATATTTAATATGAAACCCAAGACAGTTCATAGACACGTGAGATTATTTAGTTTTTGGTTTACGCATGCGCAGAAGTAGCAGTTTAGGACATGATTGTCTAGGTACTGTAACGTCTGAAGCGTTAGTTCCGTAGTAGACGTATTATTACATTTGATGTTTACAATGTTTACGTTCGAGTTATTTTACTCGAAATCCCGCCTTTGCCTCGGGCGTCTGTGAGAAGAGGCTGTCAGTTAATTAGTACTGGATTAAAAGTTTAACTTTTTAATTGAATCTGATTTTTTCAAGTAATATAATTATTTACGTATCAAGAAACCAAGTACAATTAAATAAATAATTACAATTCTAAGTAATAATTATAGCAATAATCAATTAAGAATATAATATTAAACATATAAAGTGATTGGATGTCAATAAAATTAATTTGTTTATTGAACAAATAAAGTCGTTTAAACATTTGTTTAACAACAAGTAAAATCTTGGAATGGTCTATTTTTTTCATTTGGGTGTGTGTCTGTGAGCCAGACCAGTTTTGGAGAATTACATTTCTAATATATTACACCAAACCAAGCCTTCATAGTGAGGTATCAAAAATCGAACTTGTATGTTTAAGTGTTTTACACTCACAAAAAGGGAAACCTATCATTTTATAGGTATTTGATTTAATTTTTCGTATTGTTAGCAAACACTGGGCAGCTTGTACATAATTGAATAAATAGAGTTGTTTAAACATTTGTTTAACAATAAGTAAAAGCTTGGAATGGTCTATTCTTTCCTGGGGGGGGAGGTCTGTGAGCCAGACTAGTTTCGGAGAATTCCACTCCTCATCAGTGACCCTAGACACTACCACCAATGAAATATGAGACCAAACCAAGCCTTTGAAGTAATGAAGTATCGCAAATCGATTAATTTGTTTGTTGTTGTTGTTTTTTTTTTTGTTGTTGTTGTTGTTTTGTGTACCGTCTATGACTACTACAAACTGTGCGATATATTTTTAGGTTTGTATACTACTGATGTTCATCAAATTTGAGATAACATATTACCGAAAGAAATCACTATAAGAACAGGATCTTAGAAATATTATTGGAAATATGATTATTTCATGTTCTATTAAAAGGTTGACACAGTTCGTGTGAGAAATTAGTAGTGGTATTAAACTGAAGGTGGCGATATTACTTTGTATAGAATAAAATTTCATCTTTAAATCCATATTGCTTGTAGCCTCCGAAGAAGCGACAATGGCACGGAATGATCAAGGGATATTATGTCGGTTACAAAATAACCGATTCTTTAGAGCAGTTTGTGTACAAGACTTTGGAGACAGGGGACGATTTTAAAGGAGAATGTGTCCTTACGGGCCTCCGTAGATTTACCCGGTATACTGTTAAAATACAGGCTTTTAATAGCGTTGGAACAGGGCCGTCATCAGATCACGTCATTGTGAAAACGTTAAAAGAAGGTAACACATTAAATATTTTATAGATGATTTAGGTAGAGTCTTCATAATGAACAAACTAAAGTAATACGGGCAGAAACTGCCTAGTTTAACGTGTTCTCCGTCCTTCGTTTTCAGTTTAGACGGAAGTCCATCTGTGCTACTTTTGTAGATCAGTCCTCTAAGACTTTCATCACAAGTGTCACGTTGAACTAGGCAGTTGATGTTTATTTCAACTTCGTTTGTTTAAGAAGTTAACTCTTGGATTTCTTTGTATATATAGTTGTTAATAATTATATATCTTTAATTATGGATTTTTATTCTCCTCATTAAACTGTGTAATTTCAGTGAAGAAAAGAAAGAATCCATCATTTTATTTCATTGTTGTGTGAAGGGTATAGTTCGTGACCCGACCTATAAAGAAAAGAGACGCTGGTTCAACTATGATTTATTTTTCAACATAATCTCCAATTGACAATGCTTGGAGACGGCTTGAATGGGTAATGAAGAAACTCTTTAATATAAGTTTAACATAACAGCAAATGTACAAGGTTTTGTCATCATCACCTGGGCCTTTATGCCTTTCTGACAGAATTCTTCTTCTTCTTTTTGGTCCTCCATCCGTGACTGGATGGTATGTACGAGATCATCATCACTCTGAAGTCTTCGACCTTTCGGAAGGGTTTTAAGGCTAGGGAAGTGGCAAAAACTCACTTGTAGTTAAATCCGGTGAGTAAGGGGGTGATTGAGTAATTCAAAGCCAACATCACGATAGCGTTCAAATCAACACGCGATTTGTGAGCTGAATCATTGTCCTGATGGAAGACAACATTCTTCTAATGGAAGAGAAAACATTATCCTGATGTAATAGCACATTGTCCTGATGGAAAAGTTTGAGCAATCCTTTTCTATTTTCTTTGATTGCTTATGCTAATTGTCCTAACTTGACTGAAGACAACATTATCCTGATGGAAGCGAAAACATTGTCCTGATTAAAGACAACATTATCCTGATGGAAAAGCACATTGTCCTGATGGAACAGCACATTGTCCAGACAGAAGACAACATTGTCCTGATAGAAGACAACATTGCCCTAATGGAACAGCACATTGTCCAGGTAGAAGACAACATTGTCCTGATGGAACAGCACATTGTCCAGACAGAAGACAACATTGTCCTGATAGAAGACAACATTGTCCTGATGGAACAGTACATCTTTTTGAGCAATCCTCTTCTATTTTCTTATGCCAATTGTTGATTAAGAATGTAAAGTAATCTCCTGTAACGGTTTGATCCCTTTTCAAATAATCAACTAGTAAAACGCCCTTGGCATCCGAAAAAATTGATGCTATGATCTTACCAGTAGAGGGGGTGGATGAAATTGGGTATTTCCACTACAAACTTGAATCCACTCTGAATTCATGTAGTGAACCCACGTTTCATTCATAGTTACAACTCTATTGATAAAATCATCAGGGTTTCACCGAAACATTTGGAGTAGGCATTGGCTTTCCATAACTCGGATCAATCTCTACTCTGGTGACAATATGTTTGGAACCCATCTGGTACTAACCTTACTCATGCCCAAACTGTCATTCAAAATGCTTGCTAATATACTTTTACAAATTCCCACTTCCTCTGCTAACATCCTAATGTAAATTCTTCTATCATATATAACCAAATCACGAACTTTATTTGCAATTTATATTTTGAACAATGTTGAGGACTGACCTGACCTGATGTGTCTACTGTGCTTAAACTTAGCACACTACGTTTTCACTGTTAAATATGCTGGAACACCCCCATCTCCTAATGTTGCTTCCATGTCTTGGTGTTCTTGTGGTATCATTTTCTTTTTATCAAAATATTTGATCCAGTCACGAAGTTCCTTCTTCTCCATGACGTTTAACACTGCTAACTTCTTTCCCTCGAAAATCCACACAACGCAAAATAAGCTGGTAAAGTTATAGGTTACCTGTTGCTTACTCATAAAAATATTTAAACTTAACATTTATCAGAAAAAAAATCGTTCATTCCAGTTTTTTTAGGTCGAGGCGCGAAGTTTTGGACAACCCTCGTATTTTCATGTACATTTTTATATAAGTTCTATCTTTATATCTTGTTATAGTCAGCACATGCATATTCTCTGTATTTATGTAAATCTCTTACATCGTGTTTACGTTCACATGAGTGTTTTCGTCTTACTTCTTAAGTCCTGAAAAAAAGTGGCTCTTTAGTTTCAGCTTTTATTTTTGCAAAAATATATAAATAATTGCTTGTAGATATGTATTATTATCACTATAGACAGTGTTACATATTAGAATTTCAAATGGTCTGAAACCGAGCTAAATGATACTTTAAATTTAGTAGTTAAATTGTACTTTAGATTTATTAGTTAAGTAAAAGCCGATATATAGTCAGTTTATGATATCTGTCAACAAGATTGATACACAATTTTCTTTTTTAACATAAATACGTTTTAATATACACATAACAATACAATTTACAATAACAGTTATTACAAATAGTTATTACAATCAATGATTTATAAACCAAAAGTTTACACAAACTTACAGGCAATATAAAGTCTTCCGTTTAATTCTGGAATCTCTTCAA